ATTGAGTGGGTAATGTTTAACCAAAATGTATAGCGTACCACACAATCACTTAAAAAACGTCTATGAATGTTTGGGTCTGTCTTTGTCCACCAGATGGTGACAAATTCTTTAAGGGAACTGAAAATTATTTGTTCTTGTCTTTATTCATTTACAAGAAGATCAAGTAAAGGTAAGTGTGGATGAGAGGGGATATATTACAGCTGTTTACTCCTTTATATTTATGGTTAAAATCTTGTAAATGATTCTGTCACTGTCTGGTTGGATAATTTTTTTCAGTTTCCACTGATTAGACTATTAAATGTTACTTCTGAGATTAGTGGTGGATGTGAGGCCAGCCATACTGTGGCTGTTGCGTTTCCCTAAATTCTTCTCAGTCTGATCATTCAGCCCTTCTAGAGCGTTAGGCCCTAAGCAACAACAGCAGTAAATTTGCCTCCTCCTCCACTTATGACAGATATGTAACTTTTTAATGTCAACATTAGTCATATGGATGGATGGATGGATGGATGGATGGATGGATGGATGGATGGATGGATGGATGGATGGATGGATGGATGGATGGATGGTATTTTTTGTCATCGTAAGAGCATAAACGAAGTGCAGTAAAATGTCACTGTCACATTTTTCTGCTATTAAGCTAATTTTTTTCTTTTTTTTATGTAGCATTTAGGGGAAAAAATATAAATATAAATGTTAGATCTTTATATAGTTATTATTAGTAAATGTATATGTTAGATCTGTTTTTACATCTTATATTTAAGATGCTATATTCATATTTATATATAAATCCTAAATCTATATATTGCATCTAAATCTTGATTTTAATCTTGAACTAAATTTAAATATATATAAAAACTCAAAGTTGCTTTCAGAGTAAAAGTATACTTTAAAAGATTCTAGAAACCGCAATTAAACTTGAAGATCAAGAGCAAAGTAAATCTGTTAGGAACATAAGAAACAATCGGATCTCTCATATAAGATTAAGCTTGATTATTAAGGACACTATACTTGAGAAGTAGGATATTAAATTTTATTCCGAATTCAAGAAAGAGCCAAAGAAGGAAAGCTAAAGTACGATATCGCTATATTTATTTTTTATCAGAATTTTAGCTGCAGTGTTTTGGATCAGCTGAAGGATTTTACTCACATTGTTATGGACTCCCTGATAGTAAGGAATTGAAGTAACAAATGCATGGACTAGTGTTCACAGGCTCAGCTACTCTTCTGGTCAGTCAAGAAGCTGGTAATCCACTAGCAGTTAGAGACTGGCTCTGTGAGGTGAGTGAGCTTCTAGGGAGGATAATTAGATCAAAAGGTGGTATTGAATGAGTTAACTTCCACAAACAGTTTTGCCAAAGTATGTCTCCGGGTGGCCAAGGTAGGGCAGAAGGAAGTGCAGTCCCCAATTGACTAGATCATCTGCTAACCTGTTTGCTTGGTGAGCAGATTTCTGGGGTCCTGCAGGAGGTCTATGATGTCCAGACACTTTTAAAAGGATCTTATGACCCAAAATGACAGGTCTGTATTTATTTAATCCTGGGAGGGTAATGATGGTAAATTGCTCAAAGCAGGAGGGATCCTCACATACGTAGCCTCAGAGATTTGCGGAAGGTCTGCGTGAAGACGAGGGCCAGTTAGGAGAAGCTCCCTCAGGAATGCTGCCAGAAACTGGTGTCTGGCTTTGAGATGCATTTTCTGCAGGCAAAACAGCAATAGATAACCAAGTACTAAAAAGGCATGGCATGAAGAATTGAAGGCGCAACTGAAAAGAGGATTTTTTTTCTGTATTGAGATAAAACAAACATGCTGAACATCATTAAACATTAGATATCAAGAATCCCTTTAAAATATCTTTACTATTTTTGCAATAAAATCACTGACATGGAGAGACTTGCATTACAGCATGTCATTTGCTCACATCCCACCTAACTTTACTGACTATTATTCCTACATGTCCAACAGGTTCTTGGAAAAAAGCCATCTACACTGACCCTTACAGCATTCTCAGCAATATAAAAAAAAAAAACAAGCATACATCAGGATTTTGTTCGTATATTTCTGCTTGCAGTTTAACTTCTTCAGTGTCAGCTGACTGATCAATATACTACTGTACAAAATGGAACCTGCCTCTGTGGATCAGAGGCTTTCTGACTGAAACACTCTGCATATCAGGATTGGCATGTCTACTGTATATCCTCAACCATTGTTCTCAATACTGGTGTTGCTATGTTCTGAGCCCAGTCTTTTACACTTTGCACACCCATGACTGTGTCAACAACCATGGCTCCAACACCTTCAGCAAATGTGTGGACAAAGTGTGAAAGACGAAGGAATTTAAGTGCGTCATGTCACTGAACATCCTAGAGGACCAGTGCTGGACACTGAACACCATCCAAATAAATAAAAAGGTGGAGGACAACTTTTCTTCCCAAGAGTGCTACGGAGGAACAAAACCTTTGTTGAAAAAGCAACTGGATGGATAAACCTTTACCATTGCACTTCACCATAGCTGTCTGACTAATGGATAAACAGCATGGTACACCAGCCTCATTACATCAAAGAAAAAACTGCCACTGCTCATCAAAATCCAGATGAGACAGGCCCACCCAGGGCACTCACTGTTTCACCAGAATTCCCTCCGACAGATTTAGATTCAAGTAAACCACAATCAACAGACAGCATTTTCCCTATAGATGTGTAAAACGGAAACACTCGAGCAAAACACACATATGCATTGATATCTTGCTTTAAGTTGTGAGGACTATGCTGATTCCCATTGACCTCCATTGTAATTCAGCTGCACTGGGAAAAAAAGATATCTAATTAAATAAATTTTCTTAAAATAAATGCATTTTTTCTTGAACTGAGCAGCTAAGTTGGACACTTTGCCAATGGAATAAGATGATTTAGAAGTCCTTGCGGCTCCGGCTTCGGCATTGCTGCAGCTGGGGGATTTCCTTGGAGCCCTCTCCCCTCTTCCTTTGGTGGAGGGGGCGGATTTCCTCGGTTGGCCCCTACTGGGCGCCTTTGCTCAGGAGATCTCTGTGGGCATCTGGGGTTATATACGTACTGCTCCACTTGTGAAGCAAAATCTGTTGGGCTATTTTTTGGCAACAAGACAAAAACTACAGTCTCTTATTTCAAGTACATATTATTTGAATATCTTAATTTCTAATATAAGATATTCAAATAATATGTATGTCATGATGGGTCAAGGGAAGCAAGCCCATATGCAGAACACACACGGAGGAGACAGGGGAAAAGTTCAAAGGTTTATTTAAAGTTCTGAACACAAGATAATAAACAAGTTCTGAAACTGGTTTGGGCTGGTTCACTGAAGTCTTGACTGGGACCGGAGACTGTTGGTTAGCAGAGTTCATGAGAAGCTAAGCGTCTAGCTGTCCACATAGGATTCTTCAGGCTGATTCCACATAGGAATCTTCAGGTAAAGTCCACATAGAAGTCTTCAGGTTAAATCCACATAGGAATCTTCAGGTTGGCTCACCAGGGCAGATTAGCAGGTTAAGCTCACCTAGAGCTTCAGGCTAGAGACAGGTTTCCTGTGAGGCAGCTCTCCCAGAGCTTCAGGCCAGAGACAGGTTTCCAGTGGGGCAGCTCACCCAGAGCTTCAGACTAGCGACAGGTTTCCTGTGAGGCACAGACAAAGGAGAGATTAGAATCTGATCTCACACTAGAGACAACTAAGCTTCTATCAGTAAAAGAGGCTCAGGTTGCTAACCAAACTAAGATCAACACTGCGGCGTGGAAGCAAGGTCTGGCAGGAGCTTATAAAGGGGAGGTCTCCTGATGAGTAGATGCATAACAGGTGTGCTGGAAGACTCCAGCCCTAGGAGACCCACGGCGCACTCTGCTGGAGACAGAGGGTAATCTCCAGATCCCAACAGTAACTCCAGCCCTAAGAGAAAACAACAAGAGACAGAAGAGGATCCTCTGCGCCCTCTGGTGGGCAAGCCTGAGGATCCCAACAATGTAGGCCTACTTGACATTAAGACATTTTACTAATATTTTGGATTATCTTTATTTTATTTTGATATTTTGGAAGCCTAACAATAACCCTAAACCTACGCATTAACAGATCATACCCAACCCTAAATTTGACCTAAACAATCCACACCTTAGTTCTGGTGAGGACCAGTAAAATGTTCTCCTTTTGCTTATGAAACCTGAAAAGTTGCCAATCTATTCCACAAATAGGAACACGCACACAAACCCACACACATTTCTAGCTCATAAGATAATGGAGAGAAAAAAAGTTTCGACTTCTCCAGTTGTGGGGCTACATGGAGATTTTACATAATGTGTTAGACCAAGTTGAGCTGTGTTATAATAAGCTCCTAATTTGAGTCTAAACATGTACTAATGAGACACGTAATTTAATTTAATTGTGTTTGTGTAGCCTAGTTAAAATCTTTGTTAAAAAAAAGTTTTAATCTTTTTAAAACTTTTTCTACATGATTATGTTTTAACAACACATTAATGTGGTATTGAGTAACAATCCAGGTTACAATAGCAACTAAGCACTGTGATACTTTCCTTTTTTATTGTGTGTTCTTAAATAGATACCTAAATATTAATCCATATCTGTTGCATTTGCAATTTCATTTAATTCTAGGAATATGTGACTGTATTATGGCGTATTAGTGTAGTTTCCTTGTTAAATTGCCCATGTAGTATCTGTGGTATTTCAGTTTGTTCACATTTTATTTTTAGTCACAAGGAAGTTTTTTTTAAGAGCCTACATTTTTTTTTTTTATAACTTAAATTTCCTAGGAAGAGACATCACTGATTATTCAATACTTACCAATGCTCTAAATATAAACATAGATATAAGATATTGTTTCTATTTAAAGTAATAATCAAATGACACTGGTTAGAGTTTCCATAAACATCTATTAATCATTGACTTTGGGAATTGGAAAGAAGCCGAACAGGTGTACACAGTATGGTGACATTCAGGGAGGATTTATGATAGGGATGCATTTTGAATTAGGATTGGTTGATGGTCGAAGGGCCGATGGGTATAAGTGCCGTCCGCAGGAATGGCCAGCTTTACTGCAAACATGAAGCTCCTGTTGTTTTTCGGATTGGTGGCTTTTGCCCTGGCTGATGTCGCTCGCTTTGATGGGTGAGGATTATTGTTTTATCAAAAGAAAGATAAAACTTCAGACTAAATTATCTCCTGTGTGTAAGAGGGTGTGCTAATTATGCCTTTGCACTTTTGTTATGCCTGTGGAGTATTAAACAGCTAAATTTATCCAGTGTTAAACATTAATCCATAAGTGTCAGTTTTGTGATCTATTTTCTGTCTAACTTTAAAAAGATGTTCAGTAGCCTACTTACCAGAAGTTCTTCTAATGTTACTTCTCTTTCTCATATAGCTAGAGGCTCGAGTCTAAATTCTTTATTAATTCTAGATTTTAAAAAAATGATACATTCTAGCATAATCTTTCTATAGTTCTTTATTGGTATTTTAACTATTATTAATGCATTTTCAATCCTTGTAGCCTACAAAGCAATTCTATATAAAACATTTTTGGATTTGTCAATTAGGGGCTGACCCTCGGAAGATTGAAGGAAAACAGGTCAGCCCCAAGTCAGACCGTTTTTTTCCCCTATGCAATGCAGTCATGAAGTCACGCAACTCCCCCACATGCCATAGTGGCACTGTAATATTGTTTAAAGCAGAATTACAACACATATCACCTATCCAAGTTTTAAGTATTTAAAAGAATGTGAAAAACGTGTGGCATGTCGGAGCATTTATAAAACATGCTGAAAAGATAGAGATAGAGACGGTGTGAGCAGAAAAACTAATAAGGATAGGAAGTAAGATTTAACGTGGGATGCAGCCCTGTGATGTGGGGTAGACATTTTCTGTGGTAGAGCTGCCACTTGTGTTCCGACACTGTGGATTCTTGAGGCTTGTGATACAGAAAATGCCTCTCATAGCAGTAAGGATAAGAAAGGGACACATACGGATGAATAAGGGAAGAAAAACAAGGGAAAAGAAGAGGTGGGGAAAAGCATTGATGAAGGTAAGAGAAGATGCAGGTGCAGGTATCACCAAAAAAGGCAGAGCCACATATAAGTCCACTATTCATCTTTGCCTATTTAAATCCAGAAAGCCTGGATTTAGGTTCAAATCCAGGCTTTCTGACAACTGAACACATTTTTAAAAAATTGTTAATAAAACATCTACAGTAGCTATCTGGATATAGCTTTCGTGATTGTTTCAGTCCTCATCATTTCCATTATTTTTAAGAAAAGCAGCTTGTTTAGTTGTTTAATACTTGCTTTAACCTTAAAAGACTGACCAGAGTAAAAATAAATCAAACAAAAAAAGACATTATAAAAAGGTAATAACTCCAAAATGGCAGAATCAGAAACTAAACACCAAGTAAATAAAACTTAATTTAACTTGATTTATTTTAGTAGAGTGTTAGCCTTGCGGTGAGTTCAATTATTATTATTAATATTAAAAGTATATGTGGTTTTTTTTAAAGGCTGTCAACAAAAAGGTCCTGAACTTCTTTAAGAAGACAGGATTTTCCTCACATAAGGGTCTAAAAATAGTACTAAAACTCATTTGCACAAAAGCATATATCTACATATTTTTTGTGTTGCTGCTATGATTTGACAATGAACAATGCAAAAAGGGCTCTGAACTGTTTAAGTTATTTAACAGCAATAGATGTATATTTGCATTTAAACTTTTTACAAATGTAACAAAAAGTTATAAGTTTTCTTCACTTCTTTTTTATAGTTTAAATATTACTGATTAAACAAATGAACCATAAAACTGGGTTTTTCAGAGTGTGAGATATGTATTATTATTATTATAATTTACAACATATCTTTTCCTGCAGAAACAAAGTTTTCCGACTGAAGCCAAGCCTTGATGCACATGTGACCCTCATTAAGGATCTCGCTAAGAGCATTCAGGTACATGTCTACTTTTAAATTTACATGAAAATTCTCTCAATATTTTGTTTACATTTTTTCTCAAATCTAACTACATATATCTGTATGAACTCTGTCATCATCCATTTAAAACCTGATTTTCAAAAGTTTTATTATTATTATTAGAGAACTGTATCTAAACATTTTATTTCCTAAACGTGGACTTTGCTGCCACCTGCAGGTTGACTTCTGGAGCCCTGACAGTGAGGATTTGGTGACCATTGACATTAATGTGGATATCCATGTCCCAGCCAGATACCTCGATATGGTGTACACCATTTTGGAGCAGAGCGGCATTGAATATGAGTAAGAATATGAGTAAATAACTAATATTTACCAAATTGAAAATTTCTGCAAACATATTTTAAAGATGAAAGGATTATAACTCATCTGGATCACCATTCAGGATCTTCATTGAAGATGTTCAGTCTGCTATCAATCGCCAGGCTAACAGCGGTGCCTCTCCTAGAGCTCACAGCTACACCAAGTACAACACCTGGAGCGAAGTACGGAGAAAAAACAAACTCAATCATGACAATAAAACACATTCTGAAGTCATTTAATGTATGTATGTGATACGTTAATGTATTTATCGTTCAGATTGAGTCATGGATCAGCTCCATTGCCTCCTCCAACCCTTCCTTGATCAGTAAGCAGGTCATTGGACAAACATATGAGGGACGTTCAATGCATCTCCTGAAGGTAAGAGAGTCTCACCAAGTACTTGTAAATGAGACCAAACTATTCATGAATTTAATGCATTGTTCAATCACCTTATTGAAACAAACAAACACAGCTTGGAAAGTCATCCGGCTCAGCCAAACCCGCCGTTTTCATTGACTGTGGCATCCATGCTAGAGAGTGGATCTCTCCTGCTTTCTGCCAGTGGTATGTGAAGGAGGTAATTAAAAAACTGAAATGTGTGCTAAAATGCATTCTGTTTAGGAGCATTTTCTGATTAAACTTACACCTTTCCTCTGCATATATTATTTAGGCTCTGGAAAAATATGGCAGTGATTCTGAAATGACCAACCTGCTCAACACCATGGATGTCTATGTTCTGCCCGTCTTCAACGTTGATGGCTACGTGTACTCTCACACAACCGTAGGTTACAACCTATTTGACCTCAAGTTCACATTAACTAAACCTAATGGTATTATTGAAATGTACTTTTATCCTATTGGGAACAACAGGACAGGATGTGGAGAAAGACTCGCTCTAGGTTATCCGGAACATCTTGCAGGGGAACAGATCCCAACAGGAACTTTGATGCTGGCTGGTGCAGTAAGTGCTAAAACTGAGTTGTATCTTAGACGGAAAATTGAAAATCACTAAACTCACAAATATTTGAGAAGAAGATAAACTTGTCACATAACTTTTTTTTGTTGTTGTTGTTTTATATTATTCTGATCTAATATATAGAAGCTGAGATAATTAAAAGCCTTCAAGCAAAGACAAATTCAAACATTGTTTAAAAGTAAAATAAGACAAAGTAGAGGGGAATAACAAACGAATAAAGAAAAAAATACATAATTTTCTACAGTCCAACATTAAATCAGTCTAAACCGTTCTTGTTAAAGTTCTGTTAGGATTACCAAAATTATTTTATATAGTAAATAGCGGTTCAGTAGTATGTCCCACCACCTTCTTCAAATGCAGAAGTTTACATACACAGCAGAAACAAAGGCTGAAGTTGATCTCATTACATCAACTAGGAGGTTAGAGTTTGGGCACAAATGGATCTTCCAAATGGAGAATCAAACTAAATTAGTAGAAAATGGTTTAAGTGCAGAAAAGTCAAGAAATGGAGAGGTGAATAAGCATATGCATAAATAAGTGCTAATCTCATCTCAGTGAAAAGGCATTAGCTTGAAAGGTGTGAGTCAACAAGCAATCCAGCTCTTCCTGGAGGAATAAGACAAAATTACAGCAAACCAATTGGAGAAGCAGGTACAATAAACTTATACTAAATAGAAAGTGTTAAATCTGGGGAACGTTTAGGATTATTTCTCTGATAATTCTTGTGTTCTGGCATGGAGCAACTGGAAGAAAAAAAAGCAATCATACTAGACCTTAAAACGAAAAAAGATTAATCTGACCTTTTTTGCCAAAAGCTTAAAATGAAGATTGCTTTTTGAAGTTTGCACGTCTTTGTACAGTGTATGGAAACATCTGGTTGAAACTGTACTTATACACGCAAAAAGAGACAAACAAAAATAAAAACAAGTGTAACGACAAACACTCTATCACTTTATAACTAATGGCTTTTCCCCCTTTTTTCTTAGCCATTGGAGCTTCCAGCAACCCCTGCAGTGAAACCTTCTGTGGAAAAACTCCTGAGTCCGAGATTGAAGCAAAGAACGTTGCTGACTTTATCCGCAGCAATAAGTCCACCATCAAAGCCTACATCACTGTGCACTCATACTCTCAACTGCTTCTCTTCCCATACTCCTACAGCTATGGTCTGGCTGCAGACCACAGCGAGCTGGTGAGTCCATGGAGATTTACAGTCTAACCTCTGAATCATGATGTTTACAGTACATATATAATCCAGGGTAAATGGATTTTTTATAACTAACACAAACCATGAAACACCAGCGAATCACTCTTTCAAGAGGGAGCAAAATCTAAGTGGATAAAAACTTCTTGTTGTAAAGTTTCCAAATGTGTTTCCAAAAGCCAAAGTATGAACTCAACCAGCCACATCACTGTGTGACTCTTATCTACAGTCCACATTTAGCTGCTGTAAAACATTTACTCCCCACTTGCATGCCTCATTCTCATGGCTCTTTCACCTCTCCCTGGGGCATCCTGAGACTGCACAGTAAGCAATCACACCCCTACTCTCCAGCGCTCACAAGACTGAACCTCTCTGCCACGGCTCTGCCCCCTCTGTTGCTCACTTGTGATTCGGCCTCTTTACAAACATTTTCCCAAACAAAAGAGCTCCAGGGATCCACCATAACTCATGTGTCCCCTTGGAAATATAATTTCCTGCTCATGCCTCTTAGGGGGTTTCATTTCCTTTTAGCAACTTGCTTAAGCTTTTTTTTTTTTTGTCCTTTTTATATGTTATTGCAAAAAAAAAAAAAAAACGGGTGAGCATGTGAAAAAAGTGTATATATATATATATATATATATATATATATATATATATATATATATATATATATATATATATATATATATATATATATATATATATTGGATATCTTATAGGGCTGTTCGGATCTTGTTCAGGGCAAATTGAATATTAGACCAAATGTTAGATGTAGCTTATAGTGGCTAACTTCAGCAAAATGAAAGAATTTCATATGATAAGAAATGAATGGCCAGATGCAAAGCAGCCACACCAGTTGATTCATCAAGCTATAAACTAATAAAAGTTTAATTTTATGTTCTTTTAAAGCAAATTATTACTAATATATGTCTATTATTTCTTACCTCTCACTGAAAAAAAAAACTAACAGGATATGCAAGATATTGGGGGATTTCTTACATTGACAGCAATTCCAAATAATTCAATCACTATAGCGCTGCTTCACTCCCTACATGCATTAGAGTACCTAATGCCCCGGGGCACCAAAGAATCAGGCTATTGAACCATCACAGATATTTATAATAGAAATGTAAAAAGCTTGTCATTAGATAAACAATTCTGTCCAGTAGCGTTCTCATCGCAGGGGCAGAGCTGGAAATTTGCAACAGTTAATTATTCACATCAATATAATAACATTCAAGATGACAAACAGAATCCATGCTCTTTTTCAGAATTAGGTTTTTTCTATTATATAGCTCTGCTGTCTTCTAGGGCTCCTCTATGTACTTTGAGATGAAAAGCAATAAACGCAAATGTTTAATTTAGCCAGCATAGATGTATACAAATGATTCTAAATTTCTCAGCAAAAGCTTTATTAAAATTTGGTCTGTCTTCTGTGATTTTGGAAAACATGGATTCTGTCATTTTCCTATTGATACTGTAAGAATTGAGTAGATTGACCCCAAACTAATTTTGGTGCCTATCAGTTTTCTGACCAGCCCTTGAAGCACAAATTACATTTAAAACTAAATTAAATAAAAACTTATTTTCTCCAAACATCAATGTTAAAGTCTAATTTATATTATTACAGACTTTCAGTTCTAAAAATTTTAAGACTGTTTAGTTTGGGTAAGCTGGGGGAAGCCCAAGGCGCTCCCAGGCCAGCATAGATCTAGTCCCTCCAAGGTGTCATGGGTCGTCCCCTGGGCCTCGTCTCGGTGGGATGTCACCATGAACACCTACCAAGGGAGGCATCCGGGGGCATCCGAAAAGATGTCCGAGCCACCTTAGTTGACTCCTCTTTATGCAGAGGAGAAGCAGCTTTTCAAGCCAAGCCTCTCCTGACAGACTGGGCTTCTCACCCTATCTCTAAGGGTGAGCCCAGCCACCCTGCGGGGAAAATTCATTTCAGTTGCTTGTATCCATGATCTTGTTCTTATGATCAAGATTTAATGACCATGTTAGGGTAGGAATGTAGAACAACTGGTGATGTGACTTTGCTTTCTGTCTAAGCTCCCTATTCACCACAAAAGACTGGGCCAAGGTCCGCATTATACTGAGAAATTCATCTATCGATTTGCTGCTCCATCCTCCCATCACTAGTGAACAAGACTCCACTTGAACTTTACTACTTGAAGCAGAAACTCTCCTCCAACTGAATGTGGGGGAGAAACTTTTTCCATTGGAGAACCATGACCTCGGACTTATAGGGGGTTCTTCTGCAGCACACACACTACATCATCATAAAAACAGAGACAAAATCTGCTGGTCCCCAAACCAAAGCCCCTGCAGCTCGAGGCTGTGCCTAGAAACCCTGTCCATAGTTATGAACAGGACTACATACTAACTACATACTCCTGGAGTGCCCCCCTAAAGGACACCAGATGGGACATGGGATAGACAAGGGGTTGGGAGTGGATCAGATCCACCTGGAGTATCTCAGGTTCATGGCTGTTGTTGGGCTGTCATTGTTGTCATCCCTCTTTTGCATTGAATCATGCCCCTACACTAGCAGACTGGTGTGGTGGTTCCTTTTCATAAGAAGGGGGACCAGAGGGTGTTTTCCAACTAGAGGGGGGTCACGCTTCTCAGCCTTCCCAGGATAGCCGATGACAGGTTGCTACAGAGGAGAGTCCAGCTGATTGTCAAACCTCAGATTTGGGGGAAGAAATGTGGACATAGATTTGAATAAAAGTATATTCGTCTACTCTGATGCTCAAAGGAATGTTAAGATATATTGTATTACGTTAAGGTAAATAGAAAAAAAATAATGTATTTATTATTTGTAAAAAATGTATTTTCATACTACTAATTGATTGACAGACTTATATTTGCAACTGAGGTTGGTTTTGGGTTGCAGTAGTGGGGGTGTGAGGGGAGGAGCGGGGTTAGCTTGGTTGCTGTGAGTACCGCATATTTTCCTGTCAAGTGTTTTTTTATTATTATTATTATTATGACCACAACCTTTGAACGATTTATAAATGAGACCCCAGGGTTCTGCCTATTCCAAGACATTCTTGCTCTTTTTTCAATCATTCCTTTATAGATTGAACTGGTATATTTTGGGTCCCTCTAATGTTGCAAGGTCCAATTCTGCTTTAGCTTTATGTTTTCCATAAATGGTGTCACATCTTTTCTGTTGGATTTTATGATGGTTAACTGGCTAGGTCCTTCTGCAGCACAGCATCAGCAAACAATGACTCATGTCCATCCATTACTGTTAGAGATATGTGCTTTTCTGGGACATTGCAACTCGATTATGTCAAACGTGACCTTTGTTCAGGTTTTCAAATGTGTAAGTGTTAGACTCATCAATACAATGAGTACATTGCAAAAACTGGTCAAAAAATTTGTACGAATTTAAAATGATTTGAGCTGATAAGCAAAATTAAATGTCAATGGAATGAGTATTTAGACTCATGAAATAGACTCATGAAATAGACCAGATGGACTGTGGGATTGCTCAAAAATGCTTATTCAAAACCAGAGGGTCAGAATATCAGCGGCTAGGGAGTCTGGGGCAGGAAACTCTGGAGGGAGAAAAACACAGGTTAGTGACCACATAAATCTAACATAGGAAGATTATGAACATGAGTCACTAACCTGGCTAACACGGTCAGTCCGTAGCCAGAGAACAGGTAGGATCCACCAGGTGGGCTGCCAACAAGATGAGCCGCCCAGAGTGTCCCAGATGCTGAAGGCAGGCTCAGAGATCCTGGAATCCGAAGCCAGGTCAAGAAAACAGATTAGAACAAGAACAGGCATTCTCAGAGATCTAGGAGTTCAAAGACAGTTCAGGCAAACCATTCAGACGGGATCAGGCAGGCTCAAAAGTTGAGAAGCAGAATAGGTCAGGCTAAGGTAATCAGAAACACTCAGGTATGCTAAAAACAACTCACCACTGAGATCTGATGGGACAGGCTGGCTCAGTGGTTGAGAGGCAGAACAGAACAGGATCAGGAAATCAGAAACACCAAGGTACTCTAAAAACACTCTCACCACTGGCTAGACAGAACAAGAATAATCTGGCTCTCATGACTGGATGCAAGCACCTTAAATAGAGGCAGGAGCAGGTGGATCAGATAAGAGGTTATGAGAAACAGAGTTAGACAGGTGAGAGAAATTAGTATTTAAGCCAGTCTTCAGTGCCAAGATCATGACAGAAAATGGAAGAAAAAAACTACTTTAAGTCCTTTACCATGTCTGTATTCTCCATGGGAAACTTAGGTCTGTTTTCTGGTGTGTTCTTCTTAAAGCACTCCCCAGACAGGTGATCTTGAACAGTCTCTCTATAATTTTCAAAGCCTGCCATTTAAAATCAACAGAAGTGGGAGCCTGCTGTTTGTGCTGTTGTGAACTTGCTAGGACAGCCAGACATCGGTATGTCTGTAGTTGTTTTGGATAGTGGAATGGAATTAGAATTATTTTGTCACCTACTGGAATCAAAAGCTGCTTTTGAGCTTACCACGGTGTTTATTCTCATCTTAACAATAAGCCTGAATAAATATTTAAGGTTTAAACAGATCACACCTCCTTTTTTTACTCTTCTAACATTTTTTCTTTGTCTGACCAAATCCTATAACAGATTCTTAATTGCTTTCTGCATTATAGATGAGCGTTGCTAAAGGAGCCAGTTCTGCTCTGACTAGTCTTTATGGCACCCGCTACACCTATGGACCAGGTGCTTCAACTATATGTGAGTACAGCCAGATGAATACATTTGTATTGACCTTTAAAATATTATGTTTGACGAAAGACAGACAGTTAACTTCTTTTAAACTCTGCATAATACTGTGGTCTTAAGAATGAGTGTCAGCTTAGAAGGTGGACTTTCTAAGAAAAAAGCAATGAACATCATCTCTATAGGTCAGCATATGCTGCACTGAGTAACTCCCTCGCTCTTTATTTGAACTTAGACCCCGCTGCAGGAGGCTCCGACGACTGGGCCTACGACCTGGGAGTAAAATATTCCTACACCTTTGAATTGCGCGACACTGGTTATTATGGTTTCCTGCTGCCTGAGTCTCAAATCAAGCCAACTTGTGAGGAGACCATGCTGGCTGTGAATTACATCACCTCCTACGTCCTGAAGAACCTCTATTAAAAAGTGTAGCAGCGAAGACCCCTGCCAACACAGCTCCATCTCAGCTGACCCCCACTCCACCCCCATCCTCAGCCCTCACAACCACAAGCCATGTTTTCACACAGTGTTTGACAAAATGTCAGGATGAGTGGAACCAATAAAGTCAATGATCCATCCCAGCTTGTTGATTCAGTTAATAAGGAAATTTAGTATGTCACCAAAGCCTTCCATTATTCCACTGTTGAAATATATGAATTACAGAAATACCCAATAAATTGTATTGTGTGAAAACGTGGACAATGGAGAATGGAGAAGAAATAAATTTGAGGTGTTCTCAATCAATAAACTATACATAAAAAACACCAAGACAGAATACAATACTTTGCAAACTTGACCAGTCAGGGTAAAATACAGCGCTGTGTGCCGTAGAGCCTATAGGGTTTTAGTCTATTAATCATAAGAATGCGGCAAACAAGTATTCTGCATAGAAAAATTATCCAGTTTTATCTATAGAAATAATAATTTTGCATTGTCCAAACATATATATAGATATTGTATAGCAGAAATGTATTTAAATACAGAACCCCCTATTACTTTGGAAAAGAATGGCATATAATATGTGCAGTGCGCAAACCTTTTATATTATTATTATTTTAGGACTAAAGTTGGGATTCTTGCATTCTCTACCAAATAAACAATACCTTAGAATCTATTCAGCACATCATCAGGGTATTCCTGGATGCAGGGCCGGTTCTAGCCCTTTGGTTGCCCTAGGCGAGATTGAGTTTTGCGCCCCCCCCCCCCCCCCCCCCCCCCCCTCACTTTTGCCGTGCGAAATACCAGTACTGTTTTCAGCATCTGTTTAGTGCTTCATTGAGTTGTGTTTACAGTTCCACAAAGAGTGCTGTGCGGTGAATTGTGCCTACAGTTGTGCAAAGTTTGTGTTACAAAATTGCAAATTGAGTGCAAAGCAGTGTTTGTTCTTTTAGTTTTGTGAACTCAGTGAGTGGATTTCCTATAAGTATTAATAGTTTTAGAAATTGTGCTATAAGAATCAAGGTTGTGTTTAAGCATTCAGAAAAAACTGTAACTTAGCATGGAGTGATGCATAGACAAATACCAGAATAGATTTCAGTACCTTTTCTTTTTTATTATTTTAAATAATTTATTACACACTCAAAGTTAGGACTGTGCAAAAACACTTTTAACCATCTGTAAGGACACTTAGGTAAAGTATAACTAAAAAACTGGATTGAATCAATTAATGAATTTATTTCAGACAATTAACAAATTTAACACACATTAAACAAATATTAAATAAATCAATTTCAGAAATTACCAAATAACAATAAAAATAATAAATTTAAGAAATTCTTCAACCAAGGACTACATAAAAAAGTAATTGATAAACATTAAATTAAATTTTCTGTTCCAGTTCAATTAAATCATTTGAACATAAATAGAAATGAGATAAACAAAATTTTCCTCTAAATAAAATATATCAGGTATATTTACCCTGATTTCTGACATTGATTAGTGATTAAAGAAAGGATTAACCCTCTACAAACAAAAGCGCTTTTATGAATACCATTACAAAATTAACATATTCTATGATGAACAGCCATAACTTCATATATTTTGATGATTATTTGTACATCCCTTTTGAATACTCAATGCAGATAATCACTACAAAATATTTTATTTATATTAGTATCTTCTACCCATTCTCAAGCTAATAATATAGCACATAATTCTGCTGCATATATACTGAGAAAAAAATGATGTCAAGATTAGGGATGGGGATCGTTAATATTTATTGATATCGATATCTTTATCGATACTCCTTATCGATCCGAGTCTTTATCGATAAGCCTATCGATACTTTTCTGTTATTTGGTGGAAAGACGATGCAACAAAATTTTTTTAACAGAACTGGTATTGCTTCTATTGCTTAACAAGTGAGCATAACAAAAACTTTTCTAGCCTTCAATAAACATGGCTAGTGTAATAGGCCACTTCGAAATGACATAAAACTAACTAGAATATATTTTCACAATTGTTGGTTAATGTATTGTCTACTGTCACTTTTCATCATGTTTTTAGTGATTAGGAAAATATTTAACAAATAAATAATTGTATTTTAAATTAAATGTAATTTTTAATAAATGTTGGCATCAGTAGTTTAATTATATATAGAGCAATATACAACTGTATTACTCATGTTTCTCGCCAAAAACATAATTTCCCGTTTTCTTTACGTTACACTTGAACGCATCATGATAACCTAATTGTCGTTTTACTGAGCCAATCTGGGCGCACGAGGGATCACGTTGGTCGTTTGGTGCATGGCGCGTGTTTTGAAGCTGCTCTGCTTGTGGAGAAATGTCCTGGGCCGTGAGTAGTGAGGAAACAGGAAGCGATTCTTGTGGGATGGAAGAGGGAAATAGTGACAATGAAGGTTGGAAGATAGCAGCATCAAAAAATGAGAAAAAGCGGAAAAAACAGAGATCAGTTAAAGGGGAATCTAGTTCAGAACAATCCAGTGATGATCAATCCATACATTCCACAGCAAAACAAAATGAATTCAAAGTCATATTCAAAGTCGTTAATCAGGCAGACTCTTTTACAAACTGGAATCCGGTTCACTTAACAAAAACCATCAATAAACTTGTTGGAGAAGTCAGAGGTGCCAGAATTCTGTACAGTGGAGACCTGCTAATTAACTGCAGAGACAGCGCCCAGCAAGGCAAAGCAATACGAATTAACAAAATTGACGGGATAAGAGTTCAGTGCAGCCTAATGGAGAACAAAAAGATCAGCAGGGGAGTCATTGGAGGAGTTCCTCTGGAAATTTCTGAAAAAGAGATTCTGGAAAACATAAGCGGTGCAAAAGTAAAAGAAGTAAAACGGTTAAAAACAACAAGAAACGGAGAAAGATCTGACAGTTTATCTGTACTAATTAAATTTGAGGAAGAGCAATTACCAAGCAAAGTATTCATTGGTTACATCAGTTACAATGTCAAAATCTACAATCCACCACCATTGAGATGTTTCAAATGTCAAAAATTCGGACACATTGCAGCAGTTTGTAAAGGGAAACAGAGGTGTGGAAGGTGTGCAGGAGAACATGAATATGGTAAATGTGTAAAAGAAGCTAAAATAAAATGCTGTAATTGTGGTGGAGAACATACTGCTGCTTATCGCGGCTGTGAAGCAAGCAAAAGGTCTGAAGAAATAAAAAAAATGAAATTTGAGCTTGGAATAACTTATGCTGAAGCTGCAAAAAGGATCCCATCTCAGTCAGAAAAACCCAAACCTACAGTTCAACACACGGCAAATTTCAAACCTCTAGAGAAATCTCCAAAAATTGATGAAGACTCACTAATTGTTAAAAAGACAAATTTTGTTTTTTCATTTTTCATGGTGGAAGTGATTAATTGTACTGCTCAGACGACAAAAAAAACAGAAAAAATCAAAATAATAGTGAAGGCTGCAGAAAAATATCTGGATGTTAAAGATATGAACTGGGAGATGGTTGGAAGCATGATGGAAAGACCAATGGGACCATCAGAAACTGGCAGAGTTACGATGACCTAGAGTAAATTAAAATTATACGGGCAAATGTAATTTAGTATAATTTAGTATTATGTGGGTTTAAGTTACACAGGTATTTTTTTTTTTTTTTTTATTGGGGGGGGGTGAATCGTTTCCTGTTTCCTTGCTTTACTCCATATCAGTTGGTGGCGGTAATGCACATTTCACAAGTTTGCCAACCGCCATAAAATCTCATAAGAAGAAGAAGAAGAACAGCCAATCTGAACACATCATCACGCAGCACGTCTGAAATTTTATTTACTTTTCAAGCTAACTAGCTTGTATGCTTCCGATTACAACACGGATTTTACAATTAATATTTTTAACTGACCGGACAAGCTACAAAGTCTGTGTGCGCTTACCAGTGGTACTCTGAGTGGATGATTAAGACGGGCCCGACCGCGAGCAAAGTTAAGCAAGTACGTTTGCTTAGAATTTCATTCCAAAACATTGGTGGACATGCTGCAGTGATTGACGTCACGACTTCCGGGTTAGGGGGCGCTTGGAAAGTGATCAGAATCTTTTCCGATTTTCTCTTAAATGTGAAAAAATAAATAAAAAAACAGTGGTATATTTATTTGTTCATATTTTGCTATTTATATATACGTAAGGCTAAGTCAAACTGACGGACGCTTCATAACCGGTTTAATTCGCTTTTTTTTTCTAATTCTATGATTAATGGGAAGTAAGCCTAAGGGTGACGCTAGAGGGCGCCCCCAACACATTTGTCGCCCTAGGCAATTGCCTAGCTCGCCTGTAGCAATCGCCGGCCCTGCCTGGATGTAGCTGAGGAAATTGTGCATTAAAAGTGATCAACAAACTCGGAGCTCTATAAATGAGTAAGCTAGTATAAACCTAGGTCAGCTATGACTTTCCTCAATTTTTTTCATAATTACAAGATCTTATATTATAATTCTGAGATCCTGATCTCACAATAACATCTTTCCAATAGATATTTTCTTGCAATCGTGACATCATATCTTGTAACTCTGGCATATTTTCTTGTAATTAAGAAATTTGATGTCGTAATTGTTTCATCATTTCTCATATTAGGCTGTTATAATTAGGATTTCTTCTCCAATATTTACAAATCATGTGTCTGTTATGACATATTTCTTTGTGATTATGAATATATGTTAAACACATATACACGCACACATTTATTTATATATATATATATATATCTAAATATATATATACAGTGGATCTGTGACTAGTTCTGTAGTACTGAGAGTAAATAATCTATCAATAAAATCCTCGCAACAACAATGAAAATCTTGTTGTATAATGCTGTGTCCATTGAGTTAATTTAAAAGTCAAGAAAAAGCAGTAGTATTCACATTGATGAACATAAGTACTGATGTCAGGCTGAACACTGTGACTGAAGTATTTATATGAGAGGTAGCTACAGCAGCACCAAACAGGAAATAAAACTTTTTGTCTCACTCCTATCAGGAAATCAGTTCAGTAATATTGCATCAGAAACAAATAGACTTAACAACAGTTTCTTTTCCAGAGCTGCAAAGGGAAAATACACCAAACATCCCTCTTACAAGGTTCCATTTGGGCCAAAAATGTGTTCTTG